TAATCACTGATTAGCATTTGTTAAACTAGATTCAATGCATTGTCTTTGAGGAAGCAATACTCCATCTTCCAAACCTGTAACCATCAATAATCAAGTTCAACCCAAATAATAAAAACAGAGAAAAAGAAAAAAGAACTTTTTTGCCCAAGAAATAGAATAGGAGATTTTATGATACCAAAGTCCTTTAGAAGGGCACTGTCAATAAAATGTCATTTACAACATTTGCTTAACAACTTTGTTATGAAGGAGCATGAATACATAAGCTTAAACAACTTATGGCAAATCAATTAAAACAAATGCATCACAATCAACAAAATGATCTAACTGACTGAATAACAAGAAAGACGGGAAGGTGGAGAATCATTACAGGACCCAAAAAAATGTGGGTCAAAGGGCCAAGTATATCAGATAACTCAGTAGGAATTTTTTGCATTAGCATGCATACCCACGCCTTTGCTAATTAAGAATGGAACATTATTTGCTGTCATGTATATTTCCTTGATGCTCTGTTTTATAGGATCACTTGCTATCATTTACGACTAGTGTTTACCTAGTAAGATTGTCCTGCTAATTTCCCAGTATGATTAGGTTCTTAAGGTTTCTATCATTCTTACTGAACATTGAGACAAATATCCTACATTTTACACACACACGCTATATAAATATCTCAATATGATTTTGAATATGTGCACGCAAGTTTAAAGCAAAACTTGCATGTCCTACCCATGCTCATTAGCTAGAGCAGTCTTAGCACTACACAGAAAAGCAGCATCTATATTGTAGTCCTCTTTAGCAGATGTCTCGAAGTAAGGAATATTTCCTTTTGACGCACACCAATCCAATGCTTTCTTCCAGATAACTGAGTTTGATAACCACATAAGGCTCCTTAGTGGTAGGAAGGATGATAGTTTGGAAAAAAGATCACGAGTTTAATTACTCCTCCTACAAGATTTTTCTTTTTGAAAAATATATTTGTATTAAAAAAAAAGGCTATGAGAAAACTTCAAAACACATCACCGTCTGCTTACGACTCGACTATTTCCCCCATCAATATCAACCTTGTTTACAAGCAATATAAATGGAAGTAGTATCTTAGAAATTTATATTATTCGGTGATAAAAAAAATTCTATATATTATGAGCCAACAAGGATTTTTTTTTCTTGCCAATATTTAAGATGTAGCAAGAGCAATAATAATAGTTGTAAAATTCCATGGTAACTACCAGAAGTGAGTTTTAATTAATTTTCTTTTATCATATCATACATTTAAGAATTAAGTCTTGCGAGCTGAGGTGATAACTCTAAATAGCTTAAGTCGTAAATTTCTTATATTATAACTTGTGTATGCATTATATTAGAGTCGAGAATTAATATAATAAAAGATCAGAAATGTGATCGTAATAATTTTAAATATTCCTTGAAGCTCCACAACCCAAGCGGCAACTTTCTAGAAGAAAATAGTTGGGACCATGTATTATTTATCCAATCATAACAGAATTCATTCAGGTTTTTGAGCGTTTGGAATTTGGAGAAATTAATTTGAATTTTTAAAGTTTTTTTCTTTCAAAATTTGAAAAATCATGATGCTTGGATGTGAACTTCTTATGAATTTTATGATTGCATCTATATCTATTTGCCATAGTTGACGGAAACAAAAGCTGATAATAAGTCAATGACGAAAGACTTAAAAAGATTAAAAGGTTGAATTATGACAGAAAAAGGCTCTTGATCGTAACTCTGCCGATTTTAACATGCACAAAAATATGACTTAATAGAAAAAGACTTTTTTATCTCAGAAAAATTATGAAAGATTTTTTGTTAACTATACGTGAAATTTTTCTATTGAAAGTAATTTTATTTGAGGTACGACCAGATATTAAACATTAAAACATAAGTATCTCTCAATAAGGATTCAATTATGAAAAGTTAGTTTACAACCACAAAAACATAATTTTCCAAAACACATTAAAAATTTATTTTCTCCAAATAATGAATAGTTTCTTTCATGAACTATTCTTGTGTGGAAAACTTAAAAGTTGGGTCAAAAATAATAGCAAAGTTGGAATCCCATTCCACACGTTGGGAATAATGTGGTTGTTTGTTAATCTATAATCAACTTACATACAAACACCTATGAAATGACCTCATTAATTTACTTTGTTGTCATTATCCTATCAATTCTATTATCTTTTTTCTAGAGACTTGATTTTTTTGGCCTACCTCATCTAGAGACTTGATTTTATGTATATCTTTGCGTTCTTGACGGGTGTAAGAGTACAAAGTCAATGGTGAAAGACTTAATAACAGTTAAATACTTTGCTCTTTTAATACACACAATAATAAAAGGATTTTCCAAACACATATTCCTTACAATCCATAATGTAAGTCACTTTTAGAAGAATAGTTTGGTTTAAAATATAAGTTACTGAAGAGTAATGAATATGTTTATTTGTCCATGTTGTCCTTAGAATTAATGTTTAAATGTAACTCTTTATATTTTTTCTCTCCGTCACAACGTCTTTTAATATGGATAAAGTTAAAAAAAATTCAATTTGAAACAAATTTAATGAATTAACTATTAGTTTTTGGTTTTAAGAATTAGTTAAAATGACTTGTATTATGAATGAAAGTGAGAGCACCTTAACAACTTTTCTCCTGTCAAACAGTGAATAGTCTTTTTCACTAGCTATTCAGATGTGGAAAATTTGAAAGTTGGGACCGACGTTGTATGGCTGTTAATTAGTCATTACTCCTTAGTCAACTTCTTGGAGACAAATATGCACATAGAATGGCCCACGACAATGATTTTCAATATTCACCATTAATCCCATCATCTTCTTTTCATTTCTTTTTCTGGTAAATAGTGCAACTCTGATACATGTTATTACTACATTGAATATTGATAATGGTGATGTGTTTATGATAATAGTGCAAAATAGAATTATATGTTGGCGAGGTACTTAGATGTCATGTTGAAATTATTTATAATTTGGCGATATTCTTAACATAAAATCAATGGCTAAATAATGTGAACATGAACAAATAACTTTTCTTAAATATACTCATTTAGTCCTATTTATAAGATATTTCCAGCATGTTTCATACAAATCAAGAAAAATCTTAAACTGCATTAACTCTTCATTAAAATATAACTACTTTTTAACTTTATCCTTATTTGATACATACACCATTTTAAAAAAATATTTATACTATAATAAATAAAAGACAAAATAATACATTTATGCTAAAAATTTAATAAAGTGACTTATAAATAGGATTAAGAAAAATATTCTCTCTCTACCACTAAGAAAAATATTCCCTTTCTACCTTATAAATATGATAAGAGGAGTAGATAGGATTCACTTGTTATTCATATTTGGAAGATTTTCAAGCAAGAAATAATTAGGGAGAAATTCTTACATACTCTCAGTGTACCGCGTAATCCGTGTTCTGACCAATTGTAATGCACCAACTCATGTTAAATTAATCCTATCTGGCATCCACTCATCTCATTCCAGCTTCACCTTTCCACCTTCGACTGCCTTTTGTCAACCTCGCAATAATGAAAAAACCTCCCTCTTCTGTCTCCTCCGCCCTTCACCGCCGCACATGGAGGCGGATGGATCTGGGTTGAGCCGAACATCTTCCCGCTACGGTGCTCGCCATCTTCACTAGCCCTGTTCACAAGAGGAAGAAGGAAGAAGAAGTGGGTTGCGTCTTCCCCCCTCCCTCCTCCTCTATTTCCTCCCATAAGTCTCGCCAATCCCACTCCAACTCCACCAACAATTCTGCCTCTCGCCTCCTCCTTACTGCTAGACCCCTTTCTCCGATGAACCTCCCAGGAGGACGTCACTTTGTATTCTCTTTTTTATTTTATTTCTCAGACAATATGGATTTCTTCTTCTTCTTGTTGTTTTTTTTTTTTCCCGTGATTTCTGGATCAACGTAAAACTTTAGTGAGATTGAGGTCCTTGTCGAATGAAGATCGTGAATACTAGTATGAAATTTGAAGATGAACTTATTTGTGCTTTTTTGGACTTTCTTAATCCTGACTGAAGCTGGGGAAATTTTTTTTTTGGAACTGCGAGTTTTGAACATTTCTGTGATTTCAAAGTCAATATAATTCTCTGATTTAATCTTTTCTGCTAGTATCACACTGCTCGGAGCGATTTTTTTCATTATTATTCTTATGATCGAGGGCATAATCAACCAAGGAAGTAATTGTGTTTTAGACAGATCCTAGAACTGTAAAGAATTTCTCGAGAAGATGAGATCTGGTGACAACAAACATTTTTGCTTCAAATGCTTTACAAATTGCCAGTTCGAGAATGTAACATGGATAATTTAACAGATTTCGTTCCTTTCAACATTCTAAACTTGATAGCAAACTAAATCAGAATTTACATAAGCAATATGCACACCCTGGGGATATAAACTTACATTATAGCTAGCAAGCGTAACCCCATTGAAACACAACCAGTACAACAAAATACATTTAACCAAAAATATCAACAAACAAAATTCACTTGGTGGTCGTCCTCCAAATGTCATCGTGAGAAAGCAATATCCAATCTTCAATTACCATCAATATCCAATCACAGCAACTTTGAAACTTCTTTTGTTTTGTGCAATTGTATTTGTTGGTCTGCGGGTTTGTGAATGTGCTTCCCTGTGTTCCAATTATGAGGGATCATATCTTGATTTTTGTTGCTTTTCCAAATGGACCTTTCTGCTACCTCGCCCAATCCTTTTCTGCTCAAGAATTTAGTCTACATCAGTTCCAACATAATTGCAAGTTTTTTTTTTTTTTGCAACTCTGTAAAATGTAAAAATAGCTAGAGTCATCATCATATTTGAAGGACAAAATTAACTGGATGTGAATCCAACCCTCTCCTCAACCTCAAGCCACTGGTGGACATATTTCTCTTGCTTTGAGACCAACATAGTCTCTGATTAATACTAACAATATGAATGACATCAGTCTGGTTATTAATAGCACAAAAGGAATCGACCATTATCAACATAGAAGCAGATTAAACCAAAATCCACAACTGATAACCATAGCGTCGTATTGAGACTCATCACTTCGCAGACCGCAAAAGTCAAAATCATGAACAAAAAGAAACTATGTGAGCAGTGTGATGCTAGCTGAATAGAAAAAATCAAAGAATTATGCTGACTTTGAAATTGAAAACTAGCAGTTCCAAAGAAATTTCTTCAGCTTCAGCCCGTACACAGAAATAAAAAATAAAAAAACACAAATCAATTCATCCTCAAGCTTCATACTATTATCCTCAATCTTCATTCGAAAAGGACCTCAATCACACTAAAGATTACCGTCCATCCAGAAACCACAAAAAAAAAAAAAGGCTAAAAATCGAAACAGTTTGAGAAATAAAATAAATAAATATAGGAGTGCAGCGGAACTTCCGCCTGGGAGGTTCATCGGAGGCATTAGTGGAGCTATTGTCCGCGGGAGAAGCAGAGGAGGCAGTGATGGGGGTCCAGTGGCAGAGAAGGAGGTGAGAGGCAGAATCGTTGGTGGGGTTGGGGTGGGATTGGCGAGAGTTATGGGAGGAAAAGGAGAAGGAGGGAGGGGGGAAGACGTAACCCACTTCTTCTTCCTTCTTCCTCTTGTGAACAGGGCTAGTGAAGACTGCGAGCGCCGTGGCGGGAAGATGTTGGACTCAACCCCGAACCATCCGCCTTCATGTGCGGCGGCGAAAGGGGTAGGAGGCAGGAGAGGGAGGTTTTTTCATTTTTGCAAGGTTGTCACGAGGGCAATCGGAGGTGGAAAGGTCAAGCTGGAATGAGATGAGTGGATTCCAGATAGGATTAAAATAAAGATGAGTTGTTGCATTACAATTAGTCAGAGCATGAGTTACGTGCACTAAAAGTATACAAGAATTTCTCATAATTAGAACTTGATGGATGAAAATAAATTTCCTTTAATTATGTGATTGATTTTTCTACAAACCTAGACGCGATCAATACGCGCGGCTCCAAACCTAACGACACGACAAGTTAGGAAATAACAGAGAACGTCCGATCCATATCAATTAATCAGATGATGGGCCATTATTCTTCCAAGCAGCTTGATTTATAACTTCCTTATATAATGTGATGTGATGTGATTCATGTTTTCAGCATATTTTATATAAAAAAATTTAAACCGAATTAATTTTCTTTTAAAATATAATAACTTTTTAATTTTATTTTTAGTTGATATTATATCTTTAAAAAAATAATCATCTACATTATAATAAATGAATGATAGAATAGTACTTTCATATTAAAAATTTAATGAGATGACTTATACATAGGATTAAAAAAATCATTTTCTCTTCTTTAAGACCAAAAGAGTATAGCGCACTATCAATTGGAAGATAATTATATCATTAGCAAATGTTCTATTTTTTCTTTCAGAACAAATTTTAATATAATAAAAGATCTCAAATCCCACAGCAATAATTTTAATTTAGATATTCCTTACAGCTCCACAATCTATTCTACAACTTTCTAAGTAAAAAAAAAAATTGTTGGGAGCATTTGTTGTTAAATTTGTTAGTTGACTCTTTAAATTTAATAGTTTTACATTTTCACCTTATCAAATCGTATCGATTCGCTCTAAATTCATGTTACTTGTAAATTTAGCTGAGCTCACAAATTTACACACGGAATTTATTGTTTTTATGTTTTTAACTTACAAAATCGTATTAATTCACTCTTAAACTCATTAATTTTTTAAAATTTGATTATGATTAATGATTTTATATAAGAACTTTATAAAAATTTCTTTCTTAAGTATAGCAAACTATAAATATTTATTATTTATGGACTTAATTTCAATTATTTGAATTTGAAATATATTCAAATAAAATTGTAGTCATTTTTACATTTTAATTATTTTATTATATACGTTTAATAGTTACCTATTCTTAACAGTAAACTTTTACGAGTTGACTGTCACGAGTTTTTAAGATTTGTGAGTTTAATAACATTGGTTGGAAGCATATATTATTTATTTATCCAACCACAACAAAAGTCATTCAAGTTTTTTATCCTTTGATTTTGAGTAATTTGAACTTTAAAGTTTTTTAGTAACCTCATGATAAGTTAGCCGTAGTTGACGGGCACAGGAGCAATAAATCAATAATGAAAGACTTGCCAAAATTGTTTGAATTACTGTGACTTAAGAAGCATCTAGGCTGTAACTTTGTAATTTTAAAGGTATTTTCAGCATGTTTTATACAGATCAAGAAAGATTTTAAACTGTATTAATTTTCTAGTAAAATACAACAACTTTCTAATTTCACCTCTATTTAATACACACACCTTTAAAAAAAATGTCAATATTGTAATAAATGAAGAATAAAATTGTAAATCTATACCAAAGATTTAATGAAGTAATTTATAAATAAGACCAAGAAAAATCTTCTCTCTTTAACTTATAAACAAAACTAAAGAAGTAGTTTGTAACCCCAGTCCCCGAGGTGAGTTGGCTCCTGTATTAGGGATAAAGGGCATCTCCTTAAGGGACATACCTTGCAATTTGTCTTTTTTTACGTTTATGCATAGGTATATATCTTTATATTAGAAGTAATTATGTTTAGGGTATGGCCAAATATTAAACGTGAGCATGTCTCTTAGTAAGAATTCGATTATGGAAAGCTAGATTATAACCACAAAAACATAATTTTCCAGAACACATATTAACAATTTATTTTCTCCAAATAATATTGAATAGTTTCTTTCATGAACTATTGTTCCTTGCGTGGAAAATTTAAAAGTCGGGACAAATAGTAGCAAAAAAGTTGGAATCCCATTCCACACGTTGAGACTGATAATGTGGTTGTTTATTAGTCTATAATCAACTTACATCCAAACACCTATAAAATGAACACATTAATTTTCTTTGTTGTCGTTATCCTATCACTTCTATTTTCTTTTTTCTAGAGACTTTATTATATGTATATCTTTGCGTTCTTGGTGGGTATAAGAGTAGAAAGTCGATGGTGAAAGCCTTGAATAAAAGTGAATACATCGCCCTTTTTAATACGCTCAATAATAAAAGAATTTTCCGCATGCATACTCTCTCCAATCTATAATATAAGTCCCTTATAGAAGAATTGTTTGGTCCAAAAATATAAATCACTTAGAGAGTGATTAATATTTTTATATATTTTTCTCTCTTCTTCACACAATCTCATTTAACATAGGTAAAGTTGAAAAAAAAAAGTTTCAATTTGAAACAAATTTAATGAGTTAACTATTATTATTACTTTTATTTCAACGAAGTAGTTAAAGTAACTTGTACTATGGATCGAAGAAAATACTATAACAACTTTTTCTCTAGTCTGTTTGGCCAAAAAAAAAAACTTTTTCTCTAGTCTCTTTTATTAGTTATTCAAATGTGGAAAATTTGAAAGTTGGGACCAAAGTCACATATGGCTGTTAATTAGCCCCTAGTCAACTTCTTGGAAACAATATGTATATAGAATGGCCCACGACAATAATTTTCAATATTCACCATTTTCCTATCACTTTATTTTTCATTTCTTTTTCCTATAAATAGTGCAATTCTGATACATTTTATTACTATATTGAATATTGATAATTGTGATGTGCTTATGATAATAGTGGTAAATAGAATTATATGTTGGCGAGGTACTTAGATGTCATGTTGAAATTATTTATACTTTGGCGGTATTCTAAACATAAAAGGATTAACTAAATAATTTGAACATCCTTCAAACATATAAGTTTCCTTAAATATAGATAGGGTTTGCTTGTTACTCATACTTGGAAGATTTTCAAGCAAGAAATAATTTGGACTTGATGGATGAAAATAAATTAAATTTCCTTTTCAAGATAGAAAAAATTTCTCTTGTTCATTGATTAGCTGACTAACTTTTCTACAAAACAAGATGTATTCAGCAGGCACCTCCCAACCTAATAACACGGCAAGTTAGAAAATAATAGAGAACGTCCCATCCACATCAATTAATGAGATGATGGGCCATCAGTCTAACTTGAAAAAGCTTGGGTTATAACTTTGTTACTATCTCCCCAGTTCTTAATAAAAAATTCAGTTAAATTATTTGGAGATATTAATAAGAAATAGAAATCAATAAATTGCCTTAAAGTATTTATCTTTATCTTTTTTTCTAAACTAATTTTTCACTCTTATAAATTGATATATATAATCTAATAATACACGTAAATATTTTAAAGAGATTGTGTAACATATGCTATAACTAAGTAATCTAATAACTTTTTTAATCTCTCCAAATTAATCAATTGGATTTTATATTATGGACCGGAGGTAGTATATTATATAACTTGTGCGTGCATTATCAATTGGGAGATAATTATGTCATTAGAAAATGTTCTTTTTTTGGTTTTCCAGACCAAATTTTAACATATATAATAAAATATCTGAAATCCGACAGCAATAATTTTAATTTAAATATTCCTTGTAGCTCCACAATTTATGCCACAACTTTCTAGGGAAAAAAAAAATAGTTGGGAGCACATATTATTTATCCAATCATTAAAAAAATTCATTCAAGTCATTTTTATCCTTTTGAGTAATTTAAAACTTTAAAGTTTTTTTATAGCAAAATTTGAAAAACTATGGTGGTTGGATGGAACCTTATGAATTTTATGATTGTATCTATATGTTTGTCGTAGTTGACGGACAACAACATTAAGTCAATAATGAAAAACTTAAAAAAAAAGTTGAATATGTTTTGAGAATCACCCCGACTATAACTTTGCGATTTTAACACGCACACACATAATAACTCAACTATGAAATTTTTCCCACTTTATACGTATAAGTGTCTTCTTATTATAAACAATTCTATTTGAAATATGATGGACGAATTCAATTATGAAAGACTTATAACTACAAAACATAATTTTCCACCGCACATACATTAGCAATTTATTTTGTCCAAAGAAAAATAGTCTCTTTCATGAACTGTTATTGTGCGGAAAAATTATTAAATTAATAAATGCTAGGGACAAAAATAATAGCAAGGAAGTTGGAATTCCATTCCATACGTTGCCATTAATCATGTGGTTGTTTATTAGTCTATAACAATAAACTTATATGCAAACACCTATAGAATGAGCACATTAATTAATTTTCTTTTTCATCATTATCCTGTCAATTTTATTTTCTCTTATCTTGACTAGTCTCTAATCAACTCCATACAAACAAATATGGATAGAATGGCCCACAATAATTTTCTATCTTCACCATTAATTCCATCACTTTTGATGAAATAATTCTTTTGGTGATGTAATTAAATGTTAGTTAGATTTAGCAGAAGGGCTAGTTTCTTACAATATGACGAACTAAGATTCTAATCTATTAGAAAATGTACTCATTTAATACCTGACAATACTTTGAATATGATTGCTTCTAATAGGAAAATGTTTGTGTCTACAAAAAAAATGCTATGTTGACATTGGTTATATTCTGACATATGTAAAAATAAAAGGATTGACTACATAATTTGATCATTCTTCTGAACAAGAAAAAATCAAACACCTTCTGTGCGTGTGTGCGGAGGATCTATTTGTTACTCTTACATATAGAAGGTTTCCAAGAAAAAAATAACTATGTGGCCTCGATGGATGAAATTAATTTTCCTTTTCAATAAATAAAAAAATTATACTACTTTCAGTTCTAATTATAAGACCTTATTTGTAGATTATAAACAAGATTTTATAATTAGTACTTGAGGTAGTATAAATAAATTTTTTTATATTTTTAATCTTTATTTCTCTTATTTATTACCTAAAAGAACCCAACTTGAACAACGCGGCAGGTTAGAAAATAACAAAGGACCCATTAATATCGCTCAATTAAATGATGGGCCATTTTTCTAACCACCAATATTCATGGAAAAAATATTCTAACCACTAATACATAATAACGATCAAGTGGCTTAAAAAACAATTTTTTAGAGTTTTTCGTAGTTTCTTAATTTATGCATTATTTTTTTAAAAAATAAGCAAAAACTTTCTGCAAGAAAATAATTATGGCACTATATATAAATAACCAGCAACTTTCTGCAATAAAATTCATGTTCTTTAAGCCTCTGAGTAATTTTTATTTTAAAACTTTTTTTTTTGCAAATTAAAAAAATTACATACCATAGTTGACCAGCACACGAGTAGACTTATTGGTCCCAAAAAAATGGGGACAACTGTGGAACCTTCCTGCTTTTTTCTTTGAACCTTAGAACACGCACGTTTACCTAAATACCTTTATTGTCATTGATGATTTTAATATCTTCATGTAATAATAAGAGAATAAAAGAATTATTTCCGCAGGTTATTTAAATGTGTTTTAAATTCTTTTTATTTTAGCACTCTTTAAAATAAAAGGGTTTAATAAAGAATTTGAAAATATTTTATAACAGGTAAAAAAGTTATCCTTAAATAAACTCCTTGCACGATGAAAAATGAAGTTAAAAAGAAAATTTTTTCGTGTATTAAAAAAAAAATCGAAAGTGACATTATAAATACTAGCCACTCTCTTCTCCCAGAGTTACATGTCCATCGAAGCACAAAAAAATTGTTAGCAAAAACTTTGTTGGTTGACGTAGTCATGGATGGTTCTTGCAATATCGTCGTGGTTGTTTTTCTTTGGTTACTTACCTTATCAAATGTTGATTTATGCATTTGCAGAACATCTTATGAGGTTCAGTGCCTTCCAAGTGAGCGAGATGCCTTACTTAAGATGAAGAGTCGTCTCTCAGATCCTTCAAATAGGCTCGCCTCTTGGTCTCTCCATGCAAATTGCTGCAGCTGGGTTTCAGTTGTTTGCCACAACATCACAGGCCATGTTCTTGAGCTCCACCTCACGACTCCACCTCCTTTACAGTTCAAAGCTATGATTTGTATGAGACATTAATGTTTGTGGTGAGGTACATTCTTCTTTGCTTGACCTGAAGCATTTGAATTATTTGGATTTGAGCAGTAATAATTTTGGAGGCATGCAAATACCTGGTTTTCTTGGCTCAATGACAAGCTTGACATATCTTAACCTATCTAATGCTCGATTTGCTGGAAGCATTCCTCTTCAGTTTTGGAATCTTTCCAATCTGATCTATCTTGACCTTGGAGGCAATTATTTGGAAGGAAGCATTCCTCATCAAATTGGAAAGCTCTCCAATTTGCAATATCTTGATCTCGGAGGTAGTGAATCTAGTCTAAGCATTCCTCGTCAAATTGGAAATCTCTCCAATTTGCAATATCTTGATCTTGGAGATAATCAGTTTGGTGGAAGCACCCCCCATCAAATTGGAAACCTCTCAAATCTAATCAATCTTCATCTCGGATATGTTGAAAACCTCCAATGGGTTTCAGCTCTTTCTTCTCTTCAGCATCTTGAGCTGATTGGTTTAAACCTATCCAACACCTTTGACTGGTTGCAGGATCTACATTCACTTCCTTCCCTGAGAGAGTTGCACTTGTTAGGATGTGATTTGAACCATCATTTTGAACCATCAACCTTAAACTTTTCATCTTTAGCCATCCTTCATCTTTCTGATTCTGAATTGGGCACTTCATTGATTCCAAATTGGGTATTTCAACTGAAAAGATTAGTTCATCTTCAATTAAACAGTAATGGTTTTCAAGGTCCCATCCCAGTTAGTATTCAAAACTTAACTCTCCTTCAACATCTTGATTTATCTGACAATCAGTTCAACTCTTCTCTTCCTGATTGGTTGTACAGTTTTAGTCATTTAAAGTCCCTCATTCTCTCTCAAAACCAATTGGTTGGCACAATTTCTATGAATGTTGGAAACTTGACTTCTCTTGTTACTCTTGATTTAAATGGAAATCTTTTAGAAGGATCGATTCCAACTTCTATGGGAAATCTTTGCAACTTGAAAAAACTGGATATTTCAAACATGAAGTGCAACCAACAAATTTCTCAAATATTAAAAATTCTTTTAGAAAGATGTGTTTCTCATGCACTAGAGATTTTTTATATGAGTGATTCTCAATTATCTGGCCATCTCACTTACCAAATTGGTCTTCTTAAGAATCTTGTTGAACTTGATCTTTCTTCTAACTCCATTCAAGGTGCACTTCCTGACTCATTAGGAAACATTAAATCTTTGATATGTCTTGATCTTTGGAACAACACTTTTAAAAGTGCAATTCCTATATCATTTGGAAATCTAACATCTTTGATGTATCTTGATCTCTATGAAAATCAACTTGAAGCTAATCCTTTCGAAATCCTTGGATCACTCTGTAAATTGAATGTCCTTATTTGGGGTATAATCTTTTCCAAGGAGTTGTCAAAGAAGTCCACCTTGTTAATTTTACCCATCTGCAAGATTATGTACCAAAAAACCAACTCGCTTTAAAAGTGGACCCTAATTGGAATCCTCCTTTCCAACTTTTAGAAGATTAAACTTGGCTTCTTGGAATTTTGGTCCTCACTTTCCATCATGGATTCAATCACTAAAGCATCTTCGGTATTTGGACATCTCTGACAACAAGATTCGTGATTCAATTCCAACTTCGTTTTGGGGCATAGTGGAAATCTCAACTATTTGAATCTCTCCCACAATCATATTGAAGGAGAGCTTTCGAATACACTGATAAACTGTTCTTTTGGAATTGTTGATCTAAGCTCAAATAAGTTACATGGCCAATTACCGTATGTATCACAAAATGTGGTATTCTTAGACCTCTCAAGCAACTGGTTTTCAGGATCTATTACTCACTTTTTGTGTCATAAACAAGAGGAGATGCAGTTAAGTTTTCTTAATTTGGCATCAAATAATTTATCAGGTAAAGTACCTGATTGCTGGGCGAGATGGCCATATATTGTGGGAGTGAACTTAGGAAACAACCATTTCACTAGAATTTTACAGACATCCATGTCATCCTTGCCACTATTGGAAATGTTGAACCTTCGCAACAATAGTTTTTCTGGAAATTTACCGAGTTTTTTGAAGAATGGAAGCAGCCTGGTTTCCTTGGATCTGGGAGAGAATCAATTTTCAGGAATGATTCCATCTTGGGTTGGACAAAGTTTATCAAATTTGAAGATTCTTGTTTTGAGATCAAACAAATTTTCTGGTCCAATTCCTCATCAAATTTGCAACATGAGTGTCTTACAAATCTTGGACCTCGCGCATAACGAGTTGACAGGATATGTTCCAAAATGTGTCAACCATTTGAGTGCCATGTTGGTAATAAATAATAGTTTAGAGTCATACATTTATTTTCCAGTAAGTGGTGGTCAATTGTTAGTTGAACCATTATTACTGAAAGAAAGGGTTTATGATTACAGCTCCAACCTTGGTCTCATTACTAGCATCGACTTCTCAAATAATGAATTATCTGGAGAGATACCAACAGAACTTACAGGACTTAAGAGACTTCATTTTTTGAACCTTTCAAATAATCATTTTATTGGCCAAATTCCTCAAAATATTGGCAATATGGAATCACTAGAGACTATGGATTTCTCAAGAAACCATCTTACAGGTGAAATCCCATCAAGCATGTCAAAATTGAGCTTTTTGAGCATGCTAAACTTGTCTTACAATAATTTGACCGGAAAAATTCCAACAGGGACCCAAATTCAAAGCTTTGAAGCATCAAGTTTTGTTGGCAATTACGACTTATATGGTCCTCCACTCAACAATAGTTGTTCGTCAAACAGCTCTAGCAACAAAGAAGAAGTCCATCATGTGAAAGGAATCAATTGGTTCTTTGTGAGTATGGCATTTGGATTTATTGTGGGGTTCTGGGCAGTGGTGGGTCCTTTGCTCTATAGTAGTTCATGGAGGTATGCTTATTTCCAATTCATTGATCGCATGTGGTATAAACTGCAATACCGTTGCTATTGGTGAAAGCAAACTGAGGAGAAATTTGCATCTGGAAGTTTGGTGTTTTTAAAAGACAAGTGATTTATCTCTCTCGTAATCATATTATGTTTTTCAATAATGATGAAGTTGTTGATGAATAAAAGCATTTACAAGGATTGTGTAGTTCAACTTCGAATGTCATATCGCTGTAATATATTTGTTGTGATGAAATAGTTGTGGTCTTAATAGATGCATTACAGATAAAATTAAGCAATACATAATTATCTATCTATTTCATAAATTATCTTCAAAAAAGTACCATTAAAGACATAACATCTACACTTTAAAGATCAAATTATAATATCATGCAGAAAACTCTATTCAAGCTTTGCTTGTTTTGATTTCATACAAAGCTTAATCACCTATTAGCATTTGTTAAAAACAAGATTCAATGCACTATCTTTGAGAAGCAATACTCCATTTGACAGAACCTGTAACTAGAAATAATCAAGTTCAACCCAAATAATAAAAACAGAGAGAAAAGAAAAAAGAAATTTGTTTGCCCAAGAAATAGAATAGGAGATTTTGTGACACCAAAGTCCTTTAGAATAGAATAGCCTAACATCAAGGGCATTGTCAATAAAAGGCCATTTACAACATTTTGCTTAAACAACTTTGTTATGAAGGAACATGAATACATAAGCTTAAACAACTCGTGACAAATCAATTGAACAAATGCATCACAGTCAACAAAATAATCAAGTCAAAGGTCAAATGTGAGTTCCCAACACAAACCAATCTAACTGACTGAATAACAAGAAAGACGATAAGGGTGGAAAATCATTAGTATATGTCTGGAATATCTTGAAAGTATGTGCAATTAAGAATGGAACATTATTTGCTGTCATGTATATGTCCTTTATGCTCTGTTTTCAATGATCACTTGCTATCATTTACGACTGAGTGTTTAGCTAGTAAGATTGTTCTGCTAATTTCAAAATATGATTAGGTTGCTTAAGGTTCCATAATTCTTACTAAAGGTTGAGACAAATATCCTACATTTTACACACACACGCTATATAAATATATATATATATATATTGGATGTAAATATCTTGATATGTATGTGCACACAAGTTCAAAGCAAAACTTACATGTCCTGCCCTTGCTTATTAGGTAGAGCAGTCTTTGCAATACACAAAAAAGTAGCATCTATATTGGAGTCCTCTTTAGCAGATGTCTCGAAATAAGGAATATTTCCTTTTAACGCACACCACTCCAATGCTTTTTTCTTAGACACCTAAATTCAAGATAACCACATGAGGCTCTTCAGGTGGTAGGAAGGGCGGTAGTTTGGGAAAAAGATCCCCAGTCCAATTACTCCTCTTACAAAATTTTTCTTTTTAAAAACTATTTTTATATTAAAAAAAAGGCTATAAGAAAACTTCAAAACACATCACCTTCTGCTTAGTGCTCGACTGTCTCCCACATCAATATCAACCTCATTTTCAAGCAATAGAAACAGAAATTTCCATGAAACTTTTACCTCAATAGGAGCTCATCTTCAGTTAGAAAACATAAGTCAAAGGATGAAAAGGGCTGTCAAATTTTGACATAATAATGATGACGAGTATAAATATGTAAAAGAATCAAATATTGCAAAAGAAAAGAAATTTTGATCAAGTCCTGTACTCTAGCTATGCATCCTCATCAAACAAATATCAACACCATCACAATGGGTAGACTCAAATCACTTCAAATAAAAAGAAACAAGCAACCAATGCAGTGTACTCTCATAACTTCATGTGTACAGAGGATATATTTCCCATAATCAAAAGATTGCTATCTTCTACTTCGGTTAAAACGATATCAAAGCACTATATATAAGATACTGACAAAAATGTCAAGTGTAGATAAAAGGGCTAAATGAAGAAAATAGGGGGAAAAATTAAAATTAAAGGTAATAAAGCAACAACAGCGTCTAAATTGCCAATTTTTGGAACCCACATAATCAAGAAAATATGATATTATGAATCAAGTTCCTCCAAAACAAAAAAAGTTTTAATAACAAGATAGATGACATAGTCTAAAACTAGAGGCTTCATGGTGAGTGAGGCTCCATGTGAGACATACTGGAAATGAATGATTGATCCATTCGACCCCTAGGGAGGTGTTGATTGCTGGAACTGATGTGCCACAAAGGGAGTTCTTCTTGTTTCTTCTCTAGATTCAGATTCTCACTTCTGATTAGCTTACATTTAAGTTTATTAGACATTGTGATTCTGAATTTGTATGATCTCTCAATTAAATGTGTCATTTGAGGAGGACGATCTCCTTTATGATTGCTTGCAGTTCTGGATGCTCCTCTTGATTAAGACATAATGCTTTCTGGTTTCAAGATTAATTTGATGCATTTGCATTTTAGACATAATATTGTGTTGTAGATGTGATTAAATTGTGGAAGGTTGCTAGAAGAGTAATCTCTGTCCAGATTTGCTTTCTTTTCACAACTGAAAACCAAGTGGTAATTAAAAATATACTGGTGGCTGAAGTTAATTCTGTGATATTAGGATGATTTCATGTTGCTATTATACTTGAATCAAGTGACATCTTGGATGTTTGCAATCTGACCAGCGGTTAAATAAATTCCATATCCTAGAGAAAAGTAAGGCAAGCATGAACACTATCTCTAGGAGTTGCTAATCACATATCATCTCCTATCACATTCCATTCATCCACTTAATCACTACAATACAGAAAAACAATTAGTTCTAGACAATTAGAAATAAAGAATTTAAATCACTGTCTCTTCTCTTAATTTGCAATTAAACTTCATTAATTGGAAATTCTAAAAGCTAGAGATCAAAGAGAACTGACCTAGGGTTGACTCCACTGCACTATAGGAGTTTAATTCTAGTATTTTGATAGCTAAACAAGAAGTTTATCAGTTATCAATAAAAATGACTCCATATATTGGAGACATGGTCCGTGGATTATGCTAAAAGGAATCAATTGACTCAAGTCACAATCATTTTGAAGTTCTTTCCTAATCGTTCAGTTCTTTCATGTTTACCTCTTCTTCATCTTTTTGTTTTTATTTTGGCTATATTTCAACGGCTAACAAATAACAGGACTGGCCACTGTTAGCACGTGAACAGAAATGAGGAATCAATTTTTATCCAGTGTTGAATTTGCTACTCCTTCGGTCCTTAATATATGATCCATTTAAGTAATTTGATTAGATTAAGGAAGTTAGGTAAGTTAGTCAATTATAAGAAATGTGACGAGTTTTTCCTAAAATACCATAATCATCTTTCTTAATACCCCCTCTTCCTCTTCTACTTGATTATGATTGAGGGAGTATCCATAGGGGTAATGTAGAGAAAATTGATAAATATGAGAAATAGGTCTTATATTTAGGACCAAAACCAACTCAACAATTGGGTCCTATAAAGGACCAAAGGAGTATAATGGTTTAGAAGTATTTATTCTAGCTTTTCTGCATTGGGCAGCATATTATGAAGTGGAAGTGGATTCTCTTCAAGGGGGATAATGAATCATTAGCAGTGTGTTCATACGTGAAGTGAACACTATTGTTTAGGTATGCCAGTTTTATACTTCACAATGGAGAACCCATAAAAGATTTAAAAGTTCTCTACAAAAGCTGCTGCTAAATCATCAGGAAGAGTAACATTTTAAACTGGATATCAGGCCCTAACATTTGAAAAATGAGTCACACTATTTATAATTTATGAATAGAATAACTTGCTGTAATTTTATTACATATATAAATAGTCAATAGAGATATTAATTTATTTCAATTGTTTATAATTATAAATTAGATATTAGGGTATATGTATTATACAAAGTCTAATAAATAAATTGCACTATTTAGACTTGTGAATAGCAAATGCTGAGGTAGTTTTTCTAATATATATTGACGCATCCTTCCCACCCTTTAAAGCTTCTAATAATATCACTTAAACAGGGATTTCCTTTTTATTATGAAAAACCCATTATAAAATTTCCCATCTGTAAAATAAACATGTTTTCAACCTTTCCTAACAACTTAGCCCATTGGGAAAACTGATTTTGACATGCTATCAGTGAGATAATTACATAGTCACAGTCAAGACTTTAATTCCTTCTGCCCTCATTTTTCTAATTAGATTCGTTTCAACACAAGGTTTCCATGTGAAGGGTGTGAAGTATGTATTAGTAAAATCAATCTTGGGCCTCTCTTAATAGTAGGAGCTTAAGTTTTTGGGAGACTGGGTTATTAACATGTAGTCGAACTGGAAAAGGATTCTCAATCTCTCTGAAAACCCACAAGTGAAACTCCCGCAAACAATCTATGAGCAGAACATCCAACGGAAGCTCCAAGCCTTTAGATTATGATCCTATAGCATATCTACTAACTGTTATGTGATAATCTTGATCAAGATATCATGCAATAACACAGTTTTTTATCTACAAACAAAAGCATGCTAAAGACTGACACTGAAAAGAATCAAGACACCCTTTCAAATGAAGGGAATTAAGGTCCAACAGATGAAAGTGTAAAACAGGAATCTAAAGGCAAAAGCATGATAAAGATTCCAGTGTGAAAAGCGTCTAAACAACCTCTCAAATGAAAGGAAATAAAATCCAAGAGATGAAAGTGTAAAACACGAGAAACATACTTCAGCCAGGACCATCCCGTTTAAGAAATATTTTATGCGCTCTTCTTCCCTATAATTTCCCATCCTGAACACCAAGCACAAGTCTACAATAGAAGTTACCTAGGAGAATTAAGCAGTTCAAATGTGAGGCTTACTGTTTTTAAATTTCATTTCACATGAGAAAATATGCAGAACGAAGCATGCAAATGAACCAAAGCAATGAAAATAACAGGATAAAGGGAAAGAAAAAGGACCTGTTCGAGAAATTCCTCACGCTATGTGTCAAGGGTATCGAAAGACCTCATAACATTAACATCATACACAAGGACACAACAATCTGCCCCCCTATAAAAACCAACTCCAAGGCTAGAACACAAACGAAGCATTGAGAT